GTGCGAGACATCGCAAGTAAATTGGTGCGAGCCATGACGTCACGACAATAGATACGAGACGTTAACAAGTTATGCGAGGTATCGGCTGAGATTTGTGGAGTACAATTCAAACAACAACTATAGGTCTAATAATGAATTATTGTGATGTTAAATAGACAATGTTAGCTATCAAGGAGCGACGTTGTTTTTCATTGGGACCTTCGTCCCTTCAAGGCTAGTCCTACCATCCTAGCTAGTCTAGGCCTGGCTAGCGCGACATGCGGACGTTGGTACGAGTAGGTTAGTCTACAAACGTCGCCTAAAGTAATTGATTTTACCCGGCAGAACGAAAGAAGGAAACGCCGCTTTTCAGTCGTCTTAGGCGCCTGTTTTTTGACAAACAATGACCTTTCAGAGGTCAAATTGCTGTCAAGAATATGAATTGGCTGCTTCGCAGCAATAACACTCAATATAGCACACCATCATTCAATAAAGACATTCTAGTTTTGGCATTGAAAGATGAGAAATTGAAATAGTGATACTAGTTGTCCTCATACTTATCAAAGTTTATGTGTACAAAAACTGTGATATGCCCATGATGTAATATGACATCATCATACCCAAATATGGGTACATCACAAAAATATGTCGCATATTTGATAGTGTATAAAGATCTTAGGTGATATAGAGCATCATTCTATAGAAACATTCTAGTTTTGGCATTAAAAAATGAGGAGTTGAAAAAGATGATATAAATTTGGCCTCGTGGATTAAGCTTTCTCCACATCAAAGTTTACTTGACAAGTGATATGCCCATATTTGGATATAATATGACGTCATCGTACCCATATATGGCACATCATAAAAAATTAATCACATAATATTTGATAGTGTAGAAAGAGCTTAGTTGAAATTGAGGAAATGAAAAAGATAATAATAACTTGGCCTCCACATTATAAAAGTGTATGTGACAAATAACTGTGATGTTCCCATATTTGGATTTAATATGACATCATCATACCTATATATGGACACATAACACAAATTTATCACATAATATATTTGATAGTGTAAAAAAACCTTAGTTGAGAGCAACAAAAATAGTAATTACAAAGGGTTTTTGTGAATGAAATTTCCTTTGTCTTCTGTTATATTTAATATCTTAGCCATTCAGGGAACAGTTATTTCTAGCAATGAATTATTAGCAAACAGAGCAAGTTACATTAGCTTGCTGTAATGTTTTCATGTGTTAAAATGTAATTTTAACATATTAACTCTTTATGACAATTTTAGTATTTGAAATGAATATTATTCCCTACAGTCTGAGGTTCATGTCATTTGGTTCGTTAACTTTTATGATTTTTTTTAAAACATTTTCCAATTGATATTTATGATGTATTTTATGTGATTTTGTAATTATTTTTGTTATGACATTAGCATGTTGATATTACCAAGTCGTAGGTGTTTACATTATTATCCCAGTCCTTGAATCAAATACCTATGGTGCACATAATAGAACCCTGAGGGAGTATGCTATAATGTTGCGACCAGTAATCAAGGCATTGGCATTAAATCTTATTATAGCGTTCTCTAGGAGCTTCACACCAACAACGTCTCTAGGCGCATCACGCCAACAACGTCTCTAGGCACTTCACGCCAACATGTTCTCTGGGTTATTTCCCCACCTGAAGTTATGTATTGTT